TCATGGGATTGAAGAGTGCCAGGAACCAAGACTGCAGGGACCGCAGTTTGAGATGCGCGTGTGCCAGAGCCGGAGTGGTGGAGGAGGCCTGGCCTAACAGGTGTTGAACATGTTTCGCTCTCACACGGGCCCTTGGCCGAAACTTCCGGAGAGCCTTGCGTATCTTTCGAATCCGATCTTTGGGCAGAAAAACTCGACCTCTGATGGCATCTAGACATGTCCTGATGTAATGCACTATCTTGGACGGTTTGAGATGTGACTTCTCTCTGTTGATGGTAAGTCCTGGTTTTGGCAGTAACCGTAGAATGAATTTTGTGTCTTTAAGGGCCTGAACCCTGGATGGGGAGACCACCAGCCAATCGTCTATAAAAGGGTAGACGTGGATGCCTTTGAGACGTAGGTAAGCTGCCACAGGTGCCATGACTTTTGTAAATGTCCTGGGAGCTGTTGAAAGTCCAAAGGGCAAGGCTAGGAATTGATAAATGGTTTCCTGAAAGATGAATCGAAGGTACTTGCGATGATCTGGATGGATGGTCACATGGAAGTATGTATCCTTCAGATCCACCACCACAAACCAGTTGTTTTTCTTTAGCAGGGGGAGGATGGACTCCAGGGTTACCATCTGGAAGCGTCGTGGATGCAGGTAAGTGTTTAGGATTCTTAGGTCAAGGATAGGTCTTATAGCTCCACCTTTCTTTGGCACGGCAAAGTACCGGGAGTAGAATCCATTTTTTAGATCTGTGATTGGGACAGGTTGAATGGCATCCTTTTCTAGAAGTGACAGAACTACTTCCTCCTCCAAAGCGGGATTGAAGGATGTATGACTTACGAACCCTAAGGGAGGAAATTCTATAAATTCCAGCCGGTAGCCGAATTGGATGATTTTTAATGCCCACAAGTCGTTTGTGATGGCGGACCAGTTTGCCAGAAATGGTTGAAACCATGTGGTGATGGGATTTCCGTTTACGTTTACAACAGAGTCAAAGATACTGTTTTGATTTTTTGGCAGGCGGCTTATAGGATTGCCTGTGCTGGGATTGTGGAGGACGATAACTGGGAGCAGAGGAAGAAGCCTGAGATGCTGTCTGCTGAGGTAAGTTCTTGTAAGGTCTGTATTGTTGTGAAGATTGCTGATATTGAGCATAAGACCTTCTCTATTGAAATTTTTTAAATCTAGGTTGTGTCTGGATAGAATAAGATTTGGTAGTCTTCTTCACCTTATGGAGGTCCTTCAAATGATTGTCAGTTTTTTCATTAAATAGTCCGGTAGCGTCAAAGGCAAGGTTCTCTACTTTGGTTTTGACGTCCCCTAGGATGTCTGCAGACCTGAGCCATGCATGTCTGCGAATAGTGACAGCTGACATAAGAACTCTGGCAGCAGTCTCAGCCACTTGTCTAGTGGACAGTCTCTGATGTTTGGATACAGTCTGAGCTTCTTCATAGGAATTCAGAAAACCCTCCTGAACGTCTTCAGGGGTCATCTTGAGACCAGGTAGAATTTTGAGCCAAAGCTGTTTCTGGTAAGCTCCTAAGGCAGTTTGATAATTGATGATCTGTAGGAGCAAAGAAATTAAGGAGTAGATTTTCCTTCCAATGATTTCTAACTTTTTGCCTTCTTTGTTAGTGGGAGTAACATGTGATTTCCCAGAGGGTTTAGTACAACTCGTTTCCACAATGAGTGAGTTTGGTATTGGATGTTTGAGTAAGAATTTCGTGTCACTGCCGTGAACATGATAAAGGTTCTCTGTACGACGAGAGATGGAGGGAGAGGTGGAAGGCTGCTCCCAAACTCTTTTATAATGTCCATTATCACTGGGACAAAGGTGAGACTCGGAGGAGGAGACCTTTATGTCACCGAAGATAAGGTCCTCCCCAGGAGGTGTAGGCTGGTCTACTTCCAATTTCAGAGCCCTTGCTAATCTTGAGAGCATCTGAAAGTAAGAGGAAAAATCCTCTGAGGGAGACGAAGCATGTGGATCACCTGTGTCAGAGCCGACGACCTCACCCTCAGGAAGGTCTCCTTGGCAAGGTTGTGATGGAAGCTCCTGCTCAGAATCAGAGGATGCTACCGAAGAAGCCTCATCTGGATCCAAGGAAAAAACATCTCGCTTCCTTTTGCAAGGGACTCTCTCGACGTTGAGATTAGAAGACTGAGTTTGCTGTGAAGAAATAGGTGCTGTTGACGTGGATGGAATAGGTTCCATGGGGGGGGTGGTATTGGAGCCCATGAGCCTTCGATGTCGACCCGTCGACGTCGATTGGCGGCGGCGAGGATGTGGAGACTCAGAAGAAGAAGAACAAATGTAGACATACTTCACCTTCTTATGCTTTTGACGTTGATCAGTCGACGAGGAAGAAGAAGAATCAGAGGAGCTATAATCCCGTCGACGTCGATGGTTATGACGGGCCCTTGGTCTATCAGAGTCCTCCGAATCTGAGGACCTGTGTCGACGTCGGTGCTTGGATCGACATCGAGTCGAAGAGCGGTGTTTCCTCTTCGACAAGTGCTTTTTTTGAGGGGATTTCGACCTCAAACACGCTGATGAGACAGGCTGGTTGAGGTGAAAGTCTGAAACCACCTTTGGAAGAAAGGAGACATCAGGATGTAATAGAACTTTGTCCTTGAAAAATTGTAGAAAGAGACCTCCGCTGGTAGAGAAGGCTCAGCTTGTCGAGGAGGGAGTGATAGGGCTGCCTCCGACAAGGATTCATGGTCTCTCGATGAATCCTCCAAAACAGGCGAAGGTAAAGTCTCAGAAATAGGTGGAAGTTGAATGGGGGGTTCCTTGGTTTTAACAGGAGCTGGAACGGGGGGTTCCTTGGTTTTAACAGGAGCTTTCCCAGGTTTTCCAGGTTTCGCTGTAGCAGCAGAAGAAGATTTCGACGTCGAAGCAGATTTCTTTGAAGAGGTCACTTTTTTAGGAGGTTTTGTGACTTTGGAGACAACTGATTGAATGGAAGTTCCAGATTCAGATCGAGGGGTGACCGAAGGTGAGGCCATTTCCAGGTCAGAAGGTTTGGTAGAAGCCAAAGTAGATTCCCACAGGTGGTACTTAAGACGTTGTTGCCTGGCTTTCAATGCAGCCTTAGTGAAGGCTTTGCAATATCTACAGGACTTAGCGATATGTGACTCGCCTAAACAGAAAAGGCAGCAATCATGCCCGTCTTGGTGGGGAATCTTCCTAGAGCACACAACACAATGGCTAAAGGGCCCTGAGGGGGACATAAAAGCTGAAAAGTCTTACTAGTAGCTGTTAATAAGGCGGGGGGAAAGGCGCAAAAGTCCGAAGCAGCCAAAATTGAGGGGGAATCCAAAATGGAGTAGAGCCAAAGAACAGTCCGCGTCAGGGAGGGAGAAAGTTCTCAAAGTTGAAGCAAGGTCAAAATTCCAGAAAATTATCAGTCAAAAGCTAAAGTATTAAGAGCTCTAAGTGAGAGGTTCCAAATCGCTAGGCGGAAAAATGGAACTGAGGCTTGGGCGGGCGGAGCATGTGCAGTATAGGCAGCCTTAAACTTTGTTACTTTCCTCTTTAAGCTCGCGAATGTTCCGAGAGGACCAACGCTGGTGCTGGGTTAACTCTTTTTGTGTGCATTCATAGAAGACCACGATGAAGAACCAGACAACAGTTGAAATACCCATCAGCTATCAGCCACCTGCATGAATAGGAGGAAGTTTACAGTTCACTGCCACAGAAATTATCTCTAGACAGAAGCAATGGATTTACAACATGAAGACTTACAGTTTTCCATGAAGAAGTGATCTGCAAGCAAGGTATCGTTGAACTTGAGATTGATTTATTCCATATATGCCAAGCCAAGTAAACGTGCCACCAACAACAAGTGTCCAGAAAGTATGCCTTTGCAGAGGATTTGGGTTAAAGCTAAAAAGAAATGTCAAAAGAAATCAGAGAACAATTAGTAAGCAGTCAAGAGTCAATTGGGAAAAGATGATAATTTTGAATCCACAAAGAGATTTCTTCATCTTCCCCTTAGTAGAAGTAGGGCCCTTGGGTGACACCTCCTAGTAACTGTATCCTCAAGTCAATCCTATATCTTTCAGGACACTCTTCTATCTAATTTATATCAAGCTACAGCAGTACCAAGCCCTTCCCCTTTTTAGAACTGCTACAGGTCAACAGTTTCTGAAACATAATTACATCATAAACTGTGAAACCCAGGAAATGTAAAATAATTGAAATAAACTGAAAAGGATTAAAAGACAGAACAGGGAACAGGAAATCTGCAGAAGTTCCTAATCCACATCCTATATGCACTGCAACATCAGAGTGGAGCAGGCTGCCCTTCTAACAAAGAAGAATTTACTGATAGAGCGAAGCCTTCTTTTTCTTCCTATTACTGATATGGCAGTCTTAGATACACACAAATGATTTCATTCCCCCTCTGATGGGAAGACATGACTTGGAACACTATGCCATGACAAAAAGCTTCCTAATGTCCAAGACCTGCCTCAATGGCTGCAAGTACTGTATTTACTAATTTTATTTTTTTAAAAGTTATTCAAGCTCTTCTGCTTGCAAGGTCCCTAGGACAGGCCCTACTGAAACAGTTATTATGTCAGATAAATTGCAGTTAGTTTTAGACATAGTTGTACATATACTGTACATTATTAGAAATGGAGAAACAGTTATTATGTCAGATAAATTGCAGCTAGTTTTAGACATAGTTGAACATATACATTATTAGAAATGGAAAAATATTCTTTATTAATTTATGAAAACATAATTTAAAACTTAAATAATTATATGCTGTCAAGTCAATTTCGATTCTGGAGACCCCTTCCAACATTCTCTACATACTACATACTCAGAAGTGGTTCAGCAATGCATCTTCCAGATGCACTCTGGAACCATATAGCTTGCCCAAGACTACAAAGGTTGGCTCTTCTCCCAGAAGACACAGTGATGAATCAAATTCTCAGTCTATGGCTCTGCAGAAAGGTACCTAACTCATTGACCTATCTAGACAGCTAATTATAAACTTAATATAAAAGAATTAAGAAAATTTAGGATCAACTTGAGATGGCTACACTTACAGCCTTGCAGTGTACATAAGCACAACAACGCTGATGGATAGATGGAGACTTATTCAATATATCAGAACTGGATTAAGTATAATTAGTATGGATGTGGCAATTATGGAATTAAATGTTTTAATTTATAGAGGCAGTCTAACAGTGTTGGCAGAAATGTATGTTTCAATGACTGTATTTTGCATGATTATGAATTTTTATTGTATTGTTCTGTATTTACAGAATCAAACAAAAAGGCAAACATGTATACAGAAGATCTGTATATTGCCTTCATCCTCAACAGCAGGACTCAAGGCTGCTAACAATCAAATCATTAAAACTAATATATTAAAAATATAAAACAGATCAATTAAAAAAACATCAAAAACAATTTAAAATAAAACATGTTGTAAAGTGACACCAGTCTAGATTACAGCCAAAGGCTAGCCTGGATGTAAAGGTCTTTCTTTGTTTACTGGCAGAAGAACAGTAGACAAGCTTCCCTTGACAGATAATTCAAGCCTTCTCTTACTATATGTACCCCTGAGGGTGTAAGATAAAAAGGCTCCCTCAAACATCTCCGACTTCAGTTAGGCTCATATGGATGAATAGTGTCCTTTAGGTATATTGGGTCCAAGTGATCAACCAATGATACTAGTTGTAGTTATAATCTTGTATCATTTTATCAGAAGATTATTGTATCTCTGTGGAATTGTGGGAATTTAATGAATTGACCACTTGATTCAATCAAATGAATGTTGAAAGGAGCAAATTCCTCTTGAGCTGCGGACTACTTGGAGCTCACATTTTTCAACATTTTCAAATATACTGAGCTATTTATATTAAGCTATTTATATTTATATAAGGGTCTTCTCTGTCTCTGTTCCCATAATCTGGAACTCCCTCCCATGTGAGGGAGAGAGAAGACCCCCCCCCCAGGAGAAGACCTTTCTTTCAGGCAGGCTTTCCCTTAGTGACTATCTAAGAGGTTTTTCTTTTTAAAGAGATTACTGTATTTAAAATTTTTGTTGCTTTTTAATGTGCGTTTACTGTTTTTATCTGTGAGTTTTTAATAAGATTGTTGTTTAATTCTTTTTTAATGCTGTAATAATTTATTGTTTTTAGCTTTCATACTGTTCACTTTTTAATACTGTAAGCTGCCTTTGACACTTTTATGAGAAAAGCAGAGTAAAAATATTATTAAACAAATAAATATTACTGTAGCAAAAACACACTTACTCCCATATTCTCAGTCTTCCTCCATGGCGGGCCTCATCTATAACGGTACTGAGTCCTCCTTTAATTATTGCAGTCCGTACAATCACTACTAGAAACCCAGATATCATCAATATAAACTGGAAAACATCTGTCCAGACAACTGCTTTTAGGCCACCCTATTTAGAAATAGCAGACACATTGTACAATTAAAAAAAGAACTGTGCACATGCACAAAACCCTGATAATTTTTTTTCTATTTTCACACAAAAACTGCTCCTGTGGCTTCACTCCCAGCTAAACTAGATGATACAGTTAATCCTTCACTGGAAAATGGCTAACTTAAGAATAAAAGATTGAATCTTTGTATGCAAGCTTGCCTCAATCCACATTTCACAAATTAACCCAACTTTATTTTTTCATTTAGAGATAGCAGAATTTGTTTACATGTCTGTTAAGATTTAGATATGAAAATGTATTAAATTTTAATGTTGCACAGTTAAATTGGGGGGGGAGGCGTGGAGCTGATTGTGGCTCTGATCATCAGCTTCTTATAGCAAAACTCAAGCTTAAACTGAAGAAAGTAGGAAAAAACACTGGGCTAAGGTATAATCTAGACCAAATCACTCAGTGGAAGTGAAGAACACATTTAAGGAACTCGATTTGGTGGACAGAGTGCCTGGAGAACTATCGACGGAGGCTTGTAACATTGTACAGGAGACAGCAACAAAAACCATCCCAAAGAAAAGGAAATGCAAGAAAGCAAAGTGGCTGTCCAACGAGGCCTCACAGATAGCAGAGAAGAGAAAGGAAACAAAACGCAAGGGAGATACAGAAAGTTACAGAAAACTGAATGCAGACTTCCAAAGAATAGCAAGGAGAGACGAACAGTGCAAAGATATAGAGGAAAATAATAAAAAGGGAAAAACCAGAGATATGTTCAAGAAAATTGGAGATATTAAATGAACCTTTTGTGCAAAGATGGACATGATAAAGGACAAAAATGGGAGGGACCTCACAGAAGCAGAAGACATCAAGAAGAGGTAGCAAGAATACACAGGGGAATTATACCAGAAAGATCTGGATTTCCCGGACAACCCAGATAGTGTGGCTGCTGACCTTGAGCCAGACATCCTGGAGAGTTACGTCAAGTGCCTTAGAAAGCCTGGCTAACAACAAGGCCAGTGGAGGTGATGGCATTCCAATTGAAGTATTTAAAATCTTAAAAAGATGACGCTGTCAAGGTGCTACACTCAATAAGTGAGCAAGTTTGGAAAACTCAGAGGACTGGAAAAGATCAGTCTACATCCCAATCCCAAAGAAGGGCAGTGCCAAAAAATGCTCCAACGACTATACAATTGCACTCATTTTACACGCTAGCAAGGTTATGCTCAAAATCCTACAAGACAGGCTTCAGCTGTACAGTGGTACCTCGACTTACTAACGTCTCTACTTACGAACACTTTGCATTACAAACGGCTCTGTTCGCAACATTTTGCTTCAACTTGCAAACGGAGCTTCAACTTACGAACAAAAAACCTTTCCAGTCCTTTTTTTTTACCTTAGTTCATCTCAGGTCAAAAGAAGAAAAAAATTAAAAAATTCTCCCCCTAGTGGTAGGGTACGGATTAACTGGCTTTGCATTAGTTCCTATGGGAACTAATGGCTCTACTTGCGAACAGCACCTCGACATAAGAACAAAAAACAGCCGGAACAGATTAAATGGTTTTCAATGTATCCCTATGGGAAATTTTGCATTGACTTACGAACATTTTGACATAAAAACACTGTTCCAATACAGATTAAGCTCGTAAGTTGAGGTACCACTGTATGTGGACCGAGAACTCCCAGAAGTACAAGCTGGATTTTGAAGGGGCAGAGGAACTCGAGACCAAATTGCTAACATGTGCTGGATTATGGAGAAAGCCAGAGAGTTCCAGAAAAACAT